AGGGAAGCTTTCGGGGCCCTCCTGCGTGGGGCAGGGGCTTGGACGGGGGGGGGGGTCTTGAGGGCCCTTCCGGCTTCTCCTCTCTTAAGGTTCGCTCCCCTCACGTCGGGGAATCTGAGAATCCCAGAGCAGGAGCCATCTCGCCCTCCGACACCCACACCCAGTGCAGGGCCGGCACCCCTGGCTGAAAGATGGGATGCTTCCCTCTCCTGCTGGGTGCAGCAGCACCCTTCGCAGGCTTCTGTGCGCTTGAGGAACTTGCGGAGCGGATTGCCACAATGAAACGGCTGGAGACATGAGCACTTTCTCCCTCCCCCCCCCGTTAAGGAAGGGGGGGCACTGGTGGGTGCAGCTGTTGGACTGCAGGGAGAGGTGGCAAGGCAGCTTAGAGGCCAGCCCAGCAGAGGAGGGAAACTTGCTGCCAGGCCCCGGGGTGGTGAACGCAGAGAGTGGGGCTGCCATTGTTAACCCCTCCTCCTCGGCGGAAACTGCCGCCTCAGGGCAGCGGTGGCAGAACTGGAGGTGGGTATTTGCAAGCCTCTGCTGGGATCTGGGGGGAGGGGGTGGCTGTCCTTTCCTGCCGTCTGCAGACCCCCACCACCACCACCTTCGGAGGGCTTTTCGAGTAGGCAGCTGTGGCAGTTGTGAGTTCTCAGCATCTGTTTCAGGCCTCTTAGGAGCTCTCCTCCTCATCAGCACTTGACTTAGGGAAATGTTGTCTAGTGCTACAACTCAACGTAGTAAAGAAACCGGCCTGCCAGTGGCTGGGGGGGGGCGGGCTTCTTCCTTCTGGGGACTTCAGCCAGCTCCCTTTGGGTGTGAGGACACCTGAAGAAGGGGCACAAAAGGGACCTCAGGGGGGGCCTGATCTCAGCAGTTGGGGCAAAGTGGGTGTGGGCACGCTTGCCCATGTGTCATCCTGGCAAATTGCCCCCCCCCCCGGGCTGGGCATTGCCTCCTCCCGGGTCCGGTCTCTGTGTTGGGGGGCTGAAAGGCGTGTTTGCTCTCCCAGCGAGCCTGGGGCAATTGCAGCTGGGAATTCTCAGTCAGAGCCCCCCCCCCGCCTGTGCCTGGGGGGGGGCCTGCAGGAGCTGCTGCCTTGGAGGGGCCCAAGAGAAAGCATGCCCCGGGGGAGGCCTCCGGCCTCCTGCCACCTGGCGTCTTCTGGACCGTTAGGGCACCGTGTGGGTGCCAGTTTCTTGGCCCTGTTCCGCTTGCCCCTCTTGGGCTCGGCAGAGTCTTGTGTCTTGGAAGGGGAGGCCAAGGAAGACATGAGTCGCCCTCGCTTAAGGAGAGCCAAGCCGTGGGTGGGTTGACTCAGCCCTGCTCCAGTCAGTCCTTCCCTATTTGTTCCTTCGTCTCATGGCCTGGCCTGGCGGGCTCCCGCCTCCATCTTTCCCAGGCTGCCTGGGGAGGGCCAGGCCCAGGAGGGGCAAAGGGCAGGCGACCAGCCCCCCCACTCCCCCTTGCCTTCCTGCTTTGGGCTGGACCTTCTGGCCTTCCTGCCTCTTGGGGGGGGGGGACAGACACTTCCCGCTTCCATCGAGGGCAGAGCTCTTACCTCCGGCTCTGGGCTCTGCCCCCCTTCTCGCTCTGAGGGTTCTGCGTGGAAATGTTGTGTACAGTTGGTGACTTTCTCTTGGGGCCTCCCTGTGCATCATAAGCCGCTTTGCGTCTGTGCTGAGCTGAGGGGAAGCCAGTTAAAAGTGCCCAAGCAGATCAGTCCGGCCAAGCGGGGGGGGGCTGGAGCGGGGCCGGACCCTGTGGCCTGAGCTGCCCGGCCTCACCCAGTAGCCGCACAAAGGCCGCATTCTCTGGCAGCCCCAAGAAGGGAGAAGAAAGGCTCTTTGTCTGGCTCCCCGAACAGAGCACTTGTCAGCACTTGCAGAGGGACGGGCTGGGGCAGGGGGAGAAGCCACAGGGTGCCCCCCCCCAAGGGAGCTCTTTTGCCCCACGGCCCCAGAGAGCCGGCTGCGGGAGGCCAGAAGCCCAAGATAATGCTGGGGGGGGGGCGTCTGCTCCTCTCCCCGGGGGGCCTGCCCACACCCAGGCCAGCTGAGGGGTGCCTGTCTTGCCCCGTCCTCCCCAGAATGGGCGGGGGTCTCGAGGGGCTTTGGTGGTAGCCGGGGCCTCTGTCTGCTCAGCGTGCGTGCCCGGGGGGGGGGGGGCCAGGGCAGGGCAGTCGTGGGGCTCACGGGGGGCTTGCTTCTGAACGGGGGGGGGGAGGGATCATATGTTCTGCATGCCCTGGGGAGAGTGGGGGGGCAGGCTGAAATGCGGCCCTGTGTGCTGAAGGTCAGAGTCACACTGGTGTCATTCTCAAAGCTCTGGCAACGCAAAATGGCACCTTCAGGGCCTCATGTGCTTCCAGAGTGACCATGGCGCACACAGGCCCCTGGTGCTGTGTCTGGCGAGAAGGCCGGGGAGAGGGGGTGGGGAGGAGAGGAGAGGCGAGGCTCACGGCTGGATAAGCGATCCCACTCCTGCACAGTTTTCCAGTTGTTTGGCTCAACAGCCAGCGGGGGGGGGGGGAGCGGTCCAGAAAGGCCATCTGGGTGCTGCTCAGAGAAGGAGCTCCGTTGGCTCTGCTGGATCAGGCAGTCCGGAGAGCCCGTTTTGATTTATTCTTCTGCATCTGCTTGTTTAGAAGATGTCCGTGCCGCCACTCCGGGGACCTGCCTAAAGTGGCTTCCAAAAGGAAAACAACAGGAAACCGGGAAGAGAGCTCGATAGCCCCGACAGAGGGCCGTGGCCATGGAGACCTGTAGCCGCAGTCGGGTGGCGCCCACCTTCCGAGCACAGGCACCCGTCCAAGTGAGTCTGCCGGGGGGGTGGGTGTGGTCATGGTACAGCTCATTTTAGCCCTCCTCACGGAGCCTAGGAAGGGGTCAGGCCAGAAAAGGCCCAGCTTGCCTTTGCCGAGCAGAGGTGCTCCCAGGTTTGGGGGCCACCCCCCGGAGGGCCTCTGTCCTGCCCTGGAATCCTCCTCCCAGAGCCCTGCGGTGCCGCACCTCCTTGGTCCCTCCCCCCCCCAACTCCTCTGATTGCCCAGTTAAAGGGATTGGCCAGAAATCCCCCCCCCCCACCGGGGAGGTTAATTGTCTTGCCCCGTGATCCTATTAGACTGAGCTGCTCGGGAGCTCCCTGCCTGCCTGTGACATGTCCTCTCTCTCTGCCTGTCCTCCAGAGCAAGATCGTGGACCTGACCGAGGCCGGGAAGGGCTTGCAGGTGCAGACCGAGAAGCCCCACCTGGTCAGCCTGGGCAGCGGGCGCCTCAGCACCGCCATCACCCTGCTGCCGCTGGAGGAGGGTAAGCAGGGAGGCACGGGGGCCCTTGGGGACAGGCTGCCATCGTCTGCCAGAGTCCTCGTGGCTGTACCCCTCGGTGCTTTGGCGCACCCAGGCTCCATCCCCATCGCCCTGCCGGCCCCGTATTGGCAGAGCAGAGGGAGGCAGCCCCCAGCCCCGCCGAGTCGCTCACCGTCTCTTTTTGTAGGCAGGACCGTGCTGGGCTCGGCTACCGGGGACGTCGTGCTGCAAGGGGCTGGCGTGGCCCCCCAGCACTGCTTCATTGAGAACGCGCACGGGACTCTCACCCTGCACCCCTGTGGCAACCCTTGCGCCATTGATGGCCTGGCCGTGACTCGCCCCACCCGCCTCTCCCAAGGTAAGGAGATGCTTGACGGGGGGAGGCTGCAACTTTGGGGACCGGCCTACTGGCCGGGGGCGTGAAAGGGGCACATCCTCCCTTGGGCCAGAGGCGTGCCTGGAACCTCAGAGCGTCCTGGGCGGGGCATCTGGCGCGGAGTCTGTGGTGGCCTGCAGCCGAGGGCAGGTGGATCGGGGCAGTGGGCGTGGCATGCTCAGAGAGCCCCAGGGCCAGCTCTGTCGGTCTGCCTGCAGCGCACCATCTCTGGTTTCTGTGGGAAGTTTTTGAGGCCAGTGCCAGCCAGCCAGCGAGAGTTCAGCTTAGTGACTCTGCAGGCCAAGCTGACCAGGAGGGGGTGCCTTCCTCTGCTCTGCTCTCTCCCCGGGTGGGTTTCAGAACGAAGGCCCCGACCCCAGCTGGGCTGAGTGTCCTTCCAGCCTGTGGCCAGGAGCAGGGGCCTTGTGTGGGGGGACTGCAGGGAAACAAACGGTTTCGGCCCTGCCCGTTTTAGGCTAGCCAGGCAAACGACTCCATTCTGAGCATGGGTGGGGAGTGACCCCCCTCCCTCCAAACTGCAGCCCAGCTCGACTTTGGGGCTCCTTGGGAGGGGGGAGGCTGGCCTAGCAGCCACAGAGATGGGAGGGGGAGGGGGGACTGCTGGGCTGCAGGCAGCATGTCCTTCCCCCACCCCCACCCCGGTCAGGGTGTCAGAGCTGCTTCCTGACAGCTGCAGCCAGCGCAGGGGCCTTCCCCTGACAAAGGCCGAGCCTGCCTGTGCCGAAGGGAAGTTGAGGGCAGCAGGCGGCTGGTGGGCCCTGGGCCCCGGCTGTGGGTTGAGGCTTCCTCGGGGAGCCCAGCCCCGCCCCCCCCAGCTCAGCCCGCCCAGCTGTGTCCCCGAGACCTCAGCGCAGCAGCCTGAGAAAGGGCGAGTGCCGGGGCGGCTCTTGGAGGCTGCTGTGGAAACACATCTGGTATCTGTGGCTCTCTCTGTCCTTCCGAAGGAGGGGGGCTCTGGCGGTGGAAAGGGAGGAGGGAAGGAACCCCTCCAGCCACCCAAGCTGGGGCCGAGCGCGGAAGGCAGCAGAGCAAAGGGCTTCCCCCCTCCCCTCCGTACTCCCCCCTCCCTGGCTAGCCTTCGCTTTGCGCCTGCCAGACCCAGCGGGAGGACTGTTCCTTGGCAAAGAGCAAGCCGGCCTTCCTGCGAGGGCAGCGTAACTGGCAGCTGGGAGCTACTCCCTCTGTCCTGTGGCTGTGGTGGGGCGGCAGCCACCGTGTTTCCACCGGATTCCTCGCCTGTCACCGGGGACATGATCTCAGCGGTGGCCACAGGCAGGCCTTTGTAGGCAGACAGCTGGGACGGGCACTTTCTTTCTCCACTGCCCTGGTCCAGCCGAGCTGGTGTGCCAAAGGCAGATGGTGCCACGCTCTCCTTCCTGCCTGGCAGTGTCTTATCACTTGGTGGCACCCATGTGCAGAGAGTGGCGAGCACAGGCTTTCCACATGCAGCCCCTGGGCCAGTGGGTTTCCCCCCCCCCCCCGCCCCCACAGGCAAGAGGACTCCTGGGGGCTCCAGGCAGAACTCACTCTGGTGGGGTGGGAGACGTGGCTGTGGGCCTTGGCAGGCCTCGGCCCCGGGCAGGGCGGGTGGCATTCGTTGGGATTAGCCCGGCCCTGGGACTTGGGTGCCTGAAGCTGGGTCAGGGGCAGTGTTCCCTCTAAGCTGAGTTAGTGTGAGCTAGGTCACAGCTTTCTAGCCTCCGGCGCACACATTTTTGCCTTAGCTCAGGAAGGATGGGTCCAGAGCAAACTAATGTATGCTGCAGCCCAATCCCTCGCTCACAACTTTCATGCCAGTAGCTCACAAAGTGGAATCTTTGCTCACAGGACTCCACAACTTAGAGGGAGCCTTGGTCAGGAGGACTCTGGAGTTCTCTGGGCATTAGCAGGGCTTCCAGCTGTGCGTGCCAGAAGTGCCAGTGCAGCTCCTGTGGCACTGCCAGAGCTAGGAGAAGCCCACAGGCCAGAGAGCGTGGTGGCAGCTGGTCACACCCATGTAGTACTGCCCTTCCTCTGACGAGACTGGTGCTACATACACCCACGGGGCTCCTCCATCTCCTCCTGCCCACGGCCGTGCAGGGGCCAGAGCACCCTCTAGGGCACCATCTTGTCAGGCTACCCAGGGGGCTGCTGTCCAACTGTGGGGCTGGCAGAAGCAAGGGGCTCCTGGGGGGGAGGGGAAATGATGCCGCTTCCGTTTCCTGACTCTCAGCCTAAGGCTCAGTGTGTGTGTGTGTGTGTGTGCACGCGTGGAGGTTCAGGGTCTGAGTGGGGAGGGGGGTGTTGATGGACACTCTGAAAGTGGGAAGAAAGAAACAAAACCACAGCCTTCAAACAGAAAGGCAGGCAACCATTACATGAATAATTACGTAAAGCAAAAATATTTGTACTTATAAAAATTGGACAGTAACATAAATATCACAGTGCATAACAAAACCATCCAATATAATTACAAAATAAATAATAGATTTAACTCCATATAAACAATGAATGAAAAATAGTCTTCCTATGCAGAGAGCAACGAGAGAAGCGAATAAAAGGAGGGCTGGTTTTATGGTTGTGAGTTTTACCTGCTGTAACCCGCCCTGAGCCGGCATGAGGGAAGGGCGGGATCAAAATTAAACAAATATGTGATAAAGTGTGAATCTCAGCATTGGCATGAAAAAGACAAGGTCCCAGGAACAGCCTGTTTTGGTCCTAACTGATTGTCTTCAGTATGTATAACAAAATGATTTCATGCCTCCAAAACGTGAGAGGGGAAAAGCCAGTGTAATAGGTCTGTAAAATTAATTGCCAGGGCAATAAAGGAGGTGTGTCCTAACTGCAAAACCCAACTAAGAAACAATTTGAATTGCCTTATAGCAATAGAGTTCAAAAAACCAGTTATTAAATAATTACATCAGAGTCAACAGAATTGTGATGTCCGTGACTCCTTCCAATGATCATAAAGCACCTGACCTTTAAATATCGGATAAAGTTTTCACACTGTTTTAAATCACACAACCACATGCAACAACATATTGTGTTCTGAAGTCTTACAATTGCCCAAAATTAGCTGTTAAATACTCTTGTCCAGTCAAGGACTGGTCAGCATAATAAAACCATAACGTATGTTAGAAAGAAGGACTTCTGAGACTATCAGCTTGTTCCATAATAAACAAACATCTTATTCTCCAAAAATATATATATACATAAAGATAGAATCACATTGTCTTTTGGCAGATAAAATGTTATGGTTTTATTATTATTTTGTTTCTCTTTTTCCCCTTTAGAGGACTTCTTCCCTCTGTCTGGTCGTTCCACTCTGACATCCTTTCATAGAATGCCTTCCAAAGAACCTATCTGGACAGGCGCGCAACTAACAAACTCTTAACGGACTTCTTCCACTCCGCCAAACTAATAAAATAACAACGTGGTCATGCTCTTCCCGGCGGGCTGTGTTTCTTGCTGGTAGTGACGTGGTCTTTCCCCTGCCCTATTGCGGGCTGGGCCACTGCCCCCTATATTCAAGGGGTGGTGGCTGGGCCCTCTTCGGAGGCATCTGCCCCCGCCCCCAGCCCTGAGAAGAGGGGGGGAGGCGCCCTCATTGCACAGAGCCAACACCTGCCTCAGCTGCACACACACACACCCTGGCACCTCCTGGGGAGTGCCACCCCCCCCTGCAGCCTCTTCCTTGCCAGCGGGTAGTGTGGGGGGGGCATGAAGGAGGGTGTGTGAAGGGGCTGCCCTCGGACCAGCCCCCTAAACAGAAATTCTGGGTTGGTGGGGTGTGGGGAAATTTTGTTGGGGGGGGGAGGGAGAGGACCCCCGCACCCCTTCCCTGAACTCCAAGTGATGATTTAGCTGCTTGGAGTTCAGGTGTGGGCAGCCCCCCCCCCCATCTAAAGGAACAGCCTTGGAGTTCAGGGAAGGGGTGGGCCTGCCCCTCTCCCTCTCCCTCCCTGCAGGATGTAAAGGGCCCTCTGGCTGACTGGGGGGGTTAATCAACATATTAATAACAGCCGCTAAGGTAACAATAGCTAAAAGTTGGAAAGATAGTCATCCCCCAAGCATGGAATTCTGGCATCATAAAGTATGGGATTTTTTCATGCTAGAAACCATATCTATATATAATTCAAGTGATCAAAATGAACGTGAGCTATATAACCCCCTGGGGAAATGGTATCCTATTTTAGAAAATATAACCTTTGAAAAGTTTGATTAGGAAACCATTACAGAGGCTAAATACAAGATAATGTTATATAACTGTTAAAACTTTATTGCCGTATTCTGTACTCCTGATGACTCAAAAAGTTTAGGATGTTACTGTTTTTCAGTGTCATTCTTCCTTTTCAGGTGAAGAAACCTTGTTTACATTGTTTAAATCTTTGACAAAAATTAATAAAATTGTTTTGGGAAAAAAATAAAAATAAAACCTTCTTAATTCTTCCATTAAGCTAAAACCAAGGAGTTTTAACAAACAATATAGAACCGTTTTAATGGAAATGCAAGTAAAACTCTCTAAAACACAACTGTGTTCCTTCACTCAGTCCAGTCAACAAGCTTAGGACCAAGGCTTGTTGCCATAGAGACCACAGCCGCCTCTATGTCCCATTATCTAATTACTTCCTAACCCCAAATATGAACAACTGCTGTTCTAGAGCAATATACATAGCAGCCATCCATGTCTTGTTGTGACTTTAACCTTATCTATTGAGCTGGACAGCTGGGAGAAGTAGGAAAGGTGCAGCCCTGACTCTGTGCCCTACTGTTTTTGCCCACGTGGCACAAGTCCCTGTGGTCTGTGTATCACTTGTGGCATCTGTGCTGGAGGTTGGCTACCTGTACTGCAGTATAATTCATGCAGATTCTATGTGTGAATCAGGCTGTCAAGATTCCTGAGGGTAAGGAGTAAATGTGGCAGATCATCTGAGATAGTGCATCCACCTCAAAGCAGGTCTGCCCCCTTTGTTCCTGACAGAGGTGCATGGTATGCACATTGTTCCCTGTAACTGGGGTTCCATGCTGAGTGAGGACACCACTACATGCTCAGCAGCTGTGAAAGGCACATAGATTGTGCAGGAAACTGGAAAAAAGCTACATGAAAAAGGAGCTAGACTGATGCATAGAAAGCTTGACTAATCAAAGACAAATTCCCATAATGAACCTTCTCGCAACAGGATAACTTTTCACTCTTCTGGTGTGATGACCAAAAGTTCTCCTATGAATCTTAAATATTTTCCAGTATAAAAGAAATAACCACAGGGGTATGGTGGGTTAGTTAACGCTCAGAGTCAATGAGAACTGTGCATGTTGCTTCTCCCATTATTATAAGTTCTGTAAAGCACAGTTTGAATTGTTCCCAACGTGAACAACTTCTAGAAAGAGGTTTCTGATACAAACACTTTGCATTTGCACTTTTACCAGCATTATTAGTATGTCTCTAAGGCATCCTGACTTTTAAATTCACAGGCTGCTGCCTGGATACCCTGACCCTGCCTCCAGTCTAGGGGAGATGGAAATTGGGGGCCAGCTGGGCTCCATAATTAGGAATATGTTGGTGCATAATTAGATCCATGAGGATCTGAATGAGCTCAGCATGACCAGAACTGGAGAGATGAGCCATAACAAGATTAGGGACATAAATGTTTCCAGTGAATATAACATCAGGTTTAAGATCTTAGTGTGTTATCTTCATGGGTCTCTTTGTTGGGGAGTTGGGGGGTTGGTGAATTTTAACACGTTTTAGCTAATTCTAATACGGCCCCTTGGATACTGCTTTTAAACATGTGCTTACCATTGTCAGAAGAATGAAGTTATCTTATTATCAGGTTAATTAAAGCCTCCACACCCCTTTTCTTTGCATTCCTACAGTTATAAACCCATTCAAGATAGCACCCCCTTTTAAACTGAATAGTAGCTCCATGCCTTTAACAGATGAAATGACAGAAACGGAGAAGGTGAGGTTTTCCTCATTACTGCATTGCCATGTTGGAAAAAGCTTCACCTATGGACGTCTACCTGTCACGTGACTGTTAGATCCTCTGTTTGTTAAAAAGGTGACAATTGTAACATACAAACCAAGAACTTGGGCAAACCTTTCCATTTTGCTTGACTAACCTCCAGCACTGGACTTCTCATATCTGTAATATTGCTTAAGTGTATCTATATACTAATACTGAAGTTGCCCCCTTGCGTGCGGATACCTAAATCCACGCATTGGGGGCACCTGGGGGGAAGGGAGATTTTCGTGGTCACTTGGGGCAGTCCCCAGGTGTGCACAAAAATCTGAAAACCTGAAAAAAATATCGGGGGGATACTTAAATCCCCCCAAAAGTAACAGAGCGTCCCCTGCGCATGTGCAGGGAACACTCTGCAAACTGCCTCGCCGCTGCCGGCGCTTCGGAATAGGGGGGAAGAGACCAGCGAGGCCCGAGGCTTGCAGCTGCCGGGCCTCGCTTCGGAGTCGGGGGTGGAAGACTGGTGAGGCCCGGTGGCTGCAAGCCGCGGGCCTCACTTCGGAGCCAGGGGGAGAAGAGATCAGTG